TGACGGCGCTGGGTGATCTGAGCGGATCGCTGCTCCTGGCGTTAGCTTTCCTCTTCATATACTCAATAAACCGACCATATTGCATCGAATAACATGTAAATCTAGAGATAGGACCAAATTGCACAGTGTGGAGAAGCCAAGCCAACCTCGATCGTCAAACGGAAGAATTGAACTGTCAAAATAATTCACTACTTCATCACGTTTTTACAGTACAAAATAACTTGCGAAATGAACCGAATGAAATGATGGCAAAGTAATGCCAAGAGGCAAGATACAATGAGGAAAATACTCAGATAATAAATATATATTTTTGTTAATGATAATTCAGAAAAAAGTAATTCTGTCCGTGTGATCCACGACTGCGGAATGAACGTACGACGATTACGAAACACCGCGATGATTGTTTTCACGCTTTTCCACGCGCGTCACGAACCCCTTGTAAGTCGATAGAAGCCTAGTCAATTTAGTAGCAAGCAATACATAGAATCGAGGAAACGCCTGAGAAAGACGTTTCAATTTAAACGAAACATCTTTGAAAAGGCACCAATCAATCTTCGAGACGTCCGCGGGACGTCTTTTAGCATCTTAGAAGACTTAAATATCTTGCGTCATTTTTAACGAGAAATGTCGTGACACCGGGGTGACATCGCGACGTATTTTAACTGGAAGCGACAGCGACGTGTCTCAACTTCGAATGATAACGATCGTAACTTATAAAAGTTGTGGCCGTGAATAAAGCCAGAGAGCGAGAAACGAGCTGTCGCTCTGCTCCGCTTTTCGGAACTCCGCTTTTCGTTTCCCCAACTCGGAAATCGCGAGACATCCAAAGTGTTCATCCCGCCCGCGGCGAATGGAACACCGTCTAATTGCGCAATCATAAAATTGCAGCGCAATTGCGATGCGATTGGAGCAGCGGCATTTTAGCGACGCTATCATCAAAGCAAGCGTTAATTGTCCTCCACCGCCGCCTTACACGCCTTATACACCTTATTTAATTACGCAACGCGGTCTCTCCGCGGAGACGCGCGCATTACGTAACTAGCTAGGACAAACGCCAAGTAATTAATCTATGTAGCTGATCATTTGTCTCCGTGAACGTGAAGAAGCATTTGCATTCTTTTCGAGCGCCTACTCTCAGCATGTTGGACATCGTGACGAAAATAATATTTCCATATCACTAACGCGTAACTTTCTTTTACCCAAAAATATACCTTAATATTCCTTTTAATTGACATTTATCGATTATTTAATGTGTATTTGTTCTGTTCTGTATTTATTACAGATTATTGATAAACATAAAGTATAACAATTATAGCATTATAACGGTATAACATTAACAAACTTGTTGCTAGCGTATGTTCAACGTGCTGAAACCCGTATGAAAAATTGAAACCGAGGAATTCCACGAACTGTTCATGATGATCTTTTTTTTTAAAAAATGAATTATTTTGAAATGTTTGCCGAATTCACACATGTATTCGTATTCGAAATATTTAAATATATTTTTACGTATATTTTACTCGTGTTTCAAGTAATTTCAATCGTCGCAACATTCAATCGTGAACATTGGCGTTCACGAAATAATCTTGCATTAGTCTGATGGAGATTTTATTAGTTATTAATTTAAAAGATAGAGCTTATCATAAATTTAGACAAGAAAGCAATAAATAAGCTAAATTCATTGCTTTTAATATGGATTTACGCTTTATGTTAAATTAAAACTTCGAAATAGTTTCTATTTCAATAATTATTTGAAATAAATAAAAACGTTGAAATCTCGTAGATTTAATCAGGCTAATGTAAAATTAATGTTTTCCCCAACAATTGTAGGATTTTATTGTCCATTGTTGAATAACGTATAATTATGGATGTACCGTTGTTACTTAACTATTTAATGATACAATCATCTCAGGATTATATCGATTAAATAATATAATCATTAATTGTCTATTCTAATAGACATAATGTACAAATAACAGATTCAAGGAGTACAACATAATTGTACATGAAATTTTATACATTTTAACGACTTTCCGATCGATTCTACAATGTGATATTAATTCCATTTTAGACAATTTATTACTTGCATAAAAAAGAATCTCTATTTTATATGCCATATTTATGTGCATATTTTGATATGTATTTTGATATATGTAAATACGAATACGTTTTGATTTTTTTATTATTCTTTGTATAACACTCTTTACATGACACGTAAAACTATAAATAGAATTCTGTCTTCTGTATTTTAACATTTACGACAAAGAGAGGAGAGAGAATATATATTTTCTTTTATTGAAAAAGATGCTTTTAGCTTCCGCTATCTTGATTTTAGTCTTTTAAAAGATAAATATACGAGAATCTCGTTTTATTTATATTATTCTTAAGTTAAATTGCATTTTGCATATAATGTTCCTCAAATGTATATTGTACTATTGCTCTATGAAAACTTGTGCATATGGGTGAATGTAGTAATGTAAATAATATACGAACGATTGCAATGTATTATAGGATTTACAAATGACTATGCGAATCAGTCACTTCTGCACGAAGATACAGAAATCTTTTGAAACGAGATGATTTTCCAGATCTTTTTGTGCTTAGTATTCCTTCCTTTATGCATCTTTGCAAAGGATCTGATCGCAATAATGGAATATTTTTATAATTCATAATGAAGGAAACAATACACAAATACCGTTTGAAAGAGCGAGAATATTTTATTAAAAATTTTATTTTAATAATGTCCTGTATGTATGTGCTTGTTAAACCTTAAGCATTTTAGCAAAAAACTTGACAATAAAAAATGTAGAAACATCATTAAATAATTAGATCAATAAAAACAATTCTTTCAATTTCTTTCTCAGTATGTTGATTTCGAAGGCAAAAGTGAATTCTCTGATATTATTCTAATATATCTTAAAAAATTTTAATTGCTTCTTTTCTTATTAATTTTTAAATTCTTAATTTTTCTTGTATATTTTGGCGATAAACACAATAATAAAGTAGCAATATAACTGTAATATTATTATTTCGATGTATGTCTGCAGACATAAATGTTAACTGTATATTATAAAAATTTCTTGTTTATGATACAGTACTTACAATATATAATCTAGGAATATTAATTTATTTAACAAATTTAATAAAATATTTTACGATATATTTATTTGTTTTATAAAAAATACTTTAATGATAATTTAAATTTGCTAACGTTTTATACGTACGATCATATACATTATTTACATTAAATAAATATAATATATATCTAATAATTAAATTAATAGAATATTTAAATATTAAATCATAATAAAATAAAAACAAAAATTTAATTATATGTTCCTCGAGACGATTTGAAAATTATCATAAGATATATTTCGATGCGAGGTTAGGTGAGTATTGACGTCTTGCATTTTCCCGAAACCTCCGAAAACTCCCTGGAATTATCCGAATAACATACTTAGTGAGGAGGTGGTTGTTGGCAGTAATCTACAAATACTCTGAGAATTGCCACCCCGCTTAAACTCCCACTTTTCACCCTTCCATTTTTATCGATGCTTTCATTGGTTAAAGGATTGAAAGCTTTCATATATCAGCCAATAGCAATATTTTCGGCTCGGAGATTCAAGCTTCAAGCTTTGTACCTACTTCGAACCACCTCACCAAACATAATTCCCTGATAACAAAGACGACTTTTCTAGTCTTTGGTAAGACGCGTCTGTCAGTTTTTGCCCTCCTACTTCCTCTTGTGCTTTTCCTAATGACTCTGATAATTTCTCGTATTTCTAAATTAAATCATTTTAATGATTATTAATCACATAAAAAAGCAATATAAATACTACGCATACATAATATTGTTATATACATCATTTAATTCTGGACATAATTATAAAAACTATTTTAATATCCCGAAATGTCGAATCTCTGCCAAAATGTGTTTCAGATATCTTAAATGGATTTTCCATTTCCTTTTCTTTTATTTGAATTAATTAATTAAAGTAAAATAGATACAAGACTTATGCATTAACAAATAGG